TGTTTAAACTAAGAACTGCCACTATCTTGGCGTGAATACCCCCCGCATACCACTTTGTCAGAATCAACAGTGGCCATTTTAGCGCTCAAGGACAACCTCCCTGCCAAATCTGAGGTTACTAAAGCCAGTGCATTGCTAAGTTATGTATTCTACAAGCTTAAAATGTGAAAATGTCAAAATCAATACATTGCGGACAGGACATTCTTTAGCAATTGAGAAGAAAAGCTTTTTTTTTGTCAAGGTCCCTGTGACCTTGACCTTCGACCCAGTGACCTCAAAGTCAATAGGGTCACCTTATAGTCATGATCAACATCCATGCCAAATATGTAGACTGTGGGTCAAAGGAATCTTAAGTAAATGGGTGGACAAACTTTTTGAAGTCAAAGTCCCTGTGACCTTGACCTTTGACCTGGTGGACCTCAAATTAATAGGGGTCATCTACTAATCATGACTTACCTCCATGCCAAACATGAAGACTGTGGGTCAAAGGAATCTTAAGTTATAGGGCGGACAAGCTTTTTGAAGTCAAGGCCCTGTGACCTTGACCTTTGACCTGGTGACCTCAAAGTCAATAGGGGTCATCTACTAAATCATGTCTAACCTCAATGCCAAATATGAAGACTATGGGTCTAAGGAATCTTAAGTTATTGGGCGGACAAGTTTTTTGAAGTCAAGGCCCCTGCGACCTTGACCTTTGACCTGATGACCTCAAAATCAATAGGGGTCATCAACAAATCATGACTAACCTCCATGCCAAATATGAAGACTATGGGTCAAAAGAATCTTAAGTTATTGGGTGGACAAGCTTTTTAAAGTCATGGCCCCTGTGACCTTGACCTTTGACCTAGTGACCTCAAAATCAATAGGGGTCATCTACTAATCATGACTTACCTCCATGCCAAATATGAAGACTTTGGGTCATAGGAATCTTAAGTTATTGGGCGGACAAGCTTTTTGAAGTCAAGGCCCCTGTGACCTTGACCTTTGACCTGGTGACCTCAAAATCAATAGGGGTCATCTACTAATCATGACTAACCTTCATGCCAAATATGACGACTGTAGGTCAAAGGAATCTTAAGTTATTGGGCGGACAAGCTTTTTGAAGTCAAGGCCCCTGTGACCTTGACCTTTAACCTGGTGACCTCATAATCGATAGGGGTCATCTACTAATCATGACTAACCTCCATGCCAAATATGAATACTGTAGGTCAAAGGAATCTTAAGTTATTGGGCGGACAAGGTTTTTGAAGTCAAGGCCCCTGTGACCTTGACCTTTGACCTAGTGACCTCAAAATCAATAGGGGTCATCTACTAATCATGACTAACCTCCATGCCAAATATGAAGACTAAGGGTCAATGATATCTTAAGTTATTGGGCGGACAAGAAAAAACCGACGGACGGCCGGACAGCCGGACAGCCGGACGGCCGGACGGACAAGCTGATTCCAGTATACCCCCCTTACAACTTTGTTATGCGGGGGTATAATAAGGTATTACCAAACCTGACATAAATGTTGTCTAAAAGAAAAGAGAGTGCTCTACAAACTTCGTCACAAGTCCACATAGTATAATGTTTAACAATACCGTTAGTAAAAAAAAGCTTTGTTAGAATTACATGCTAGAAAGGTAACTTTTTCCCGTGCAAAAGTTTTCTGAATTAGGGAAATTAGTTTATCATTGATTAATTTATGTGGCAAAGTTGTATAAAGTGTAGAAAAATCGTATGTACTGACAGTTGAAGCTTGAAAGTTATTAATTTTGAATTTATCCAAGATTTCACCAGAATTTTTAATTGACCAAAAGAGATGTTTGCTTGTGTTTTCATAGACTTTATCACAATATCTAATTACATGTATTTTAATGGCAGTCAAACAAGACGTCAATAAAATAGAAAGTTTACTTGTAGTGCAAGATGTAGAATTAGCAATAAATCTGGCTTTGTAAGAGTTTTTTTATGTAATTTAGGAATCCAATACATAATAGGAAGTTTGAGTTCTTTTTCATTAATTTGGACTTTAAGATTGGAAATATTAGTAATATGATTGTTTACAATGTCTTTTTCGGAGGCAGAGGTTTTAGAATACGCATTAGTGCTATTTAGTTCCTTATGCAAAACGTTAATGTAATGGATTCGTCAAACAATTATAATATTATTAGCCGCCTTGTCCGCTGGCACCAAAACAAATTTTGAATGAAAAGCTAGAATATCTTTTTTCAGATGTCTTAAAGTAAGTCTTGGTTTAGGTGGCAAAAGATGTTCATTTCCACGATAAAAATTAATACGTGAATCAATAATTTTAAAGATGTTACGTTTCCATGTAACTAGAGCATTACTATCCACTCCACTTATCCACTTTTTAGACCACCAGTTTCAGTTCAAATACATTGTTTTATTTATCTAACCCCAGTATTGAGACTACTGATATTCTAGTCTTTACAAGTTTGTTGTTATTTATCTGATTTAATTCCTTTAAGCATTACACTTAAAATAATGTGTTAAATCTGTTATGATTGGAAAATTGTGAAAGGTGAGAAAATAAACTTCAGATTGGTTTTATGTTACTTTCTGCACATTTATTTTGTGAAGAATTAATTTCTAAATTAATAGGTTAATTATGTTCATGAAACAAGATCTATGAAAATTTAATCTATATATCAAATATCTTCAGAATAATGTTCTAATTAGGATTAATTATTATAACATCAGTTTATAGAAATATTTGAAGGTTATAAAATAATTGTTTAAACATGTTTATACATTATTATTCAAATAGAATGGTCATGAAAGATAAACGCTTTGATAATTATATCCATAATAAATACAACTCGCAATTAAGGCTAGTTTAGTCCAATCCCTTTGGTGATCTTAATAGAGGGTTTTCACTGTATATACTAGTATATAGAACGGGTTTGCATGTAAATGTCCTTGGATGATGAACGGCTGCAAGCTGTAATATTACCTGCGTGCTTGCATACAGGTGCAGCAGGTACACGACTATTCAGAATCGCTGGTATATGAAGCACGATTTTAGCACAGTGTGAGCGCCAAGAAAGCGCCGTTTTAGCGCCGTGAAAGCGCAGTGGAAGCGCAAAGAACGCAGTAGAAGTGCAATCCGAACACAGACAATTGCCAATTGAAACGCCGTAAAACGCATTGCAACGATATGGAAGCTCAGTAGCAACGCCATGATCGCCATGAGCACGCCGTGAAGTCTCCTTCTCTATCATAAATAGATTTTTCTTGCGATCCCGCGGCACTTTGTTTGATTTAACAACGCCGTGCAAACGCAGTAAAAGCGCAGTCAAGTGTGACAGGTCCTTAAGATAGCCTTTAAAACTAATTTAGTTGCCCGTACAGACAAAAGCAGAAAACTAGGGTCTAATTTCTTTTCTTTCTTATTTATCTGCCCTTAAATGAAGCAAAATTATATAAATCAATGGCTTATTACTAAATAATGATAATCAACTCCCAACTATTTTATGCTTAAAATGTTTCTGTTATCATGTTCTTAGATCATGCAACGTTCACATAAAACATGGAAAATTTTCATCCCACTCTATTTTTTATATTCATAGGCGAATATTTAGATATCCTAATATACATTTTTTTAAATTGTTTAGATTTTAGTGTTGTTTGTGCTGACAAAGATATCAAATGAAGAATTACAATTGTAATATATGTCAAGGATGTCAAAATGTGCAGTCCAAACGTGACTCGATCCCTGGACCCTCAACATACCGAACCGCCGCTCTACCAACCAAGCTTTCCAACTGCATACACTCTATCTTCCCTAATTAGTGAACAGTTCAATGCCGCGACATAACTCCCCAACTCTACTGAAATATTCCAGTGGGTTAAAAGACTTATATACCATCACTTCCCCGTTTGGCGTCAGATACACATGTATTTCAGTATGAGAAAATGTGCAGCCTGACCGTAACTTGAACAGGCTATCTCATAAAACCACACCGCGTCTCTACCCACAGAGCTATCCGGTCGCTTATATGCTATATCCCCTAATTAGTAAATTAAAACGGTTCAATACCGTTACATGTGGTTTAGCTTAATCAATAATTCCTTAAAATTGTTATGGCAGTTCACATATTTTATAAGCTGACAGACAACCGACAACTTAAGTTCATTCTATGAATACTTCAGGCTAGAAATATCAAGTCCACATTCGTATCTAAAAGCAAAGTGTATCGTTTAAACTAGTGCAACTATCACCTGGAACTACTCAAAAATCATGATTAACATTTTTTGGAAATGAACTTGGTTACCTTGCTTCCCTTCTACGTAATCGAAATGTCTCCTGTATATATCTCGTATAGCATCTAGTTCTCTAACTTCTCTAACTTTGCTTTCTAGTGCTGTCACTCGCTGAAAGCATTGTAAGACAATAGTGATATTTTCGTCATAAGTTTCATTATAGAGACAACTGTTCAATGTACATTTTAAACAAAATTATTGATATCATATGCAATATGTTTATTATTTGTTATACTAAAGTTATTAAATAGAAGTATTTATATTTCTTGAAATGTTGTTTACATGACAAATTAAACTGTATAAATGATTTGAATATGTGAGTAAATAATATGCTAATAAGAAACCCCAAATGATATTGTTTATATGTTGTCAAATTAAACAGGATGGTTATTAATGATAAAATCGCTCACCTAAATGCACAATCATAACAGTGTAAACTTTATTAAACATATTAAGAGATCATATATATTCATTTATTATATATTAATCTTTCAAAACTATCAACCCATTCACCCTAGGGACAATAACTCTGGAGCCCATCTTTAAAATAAGTTTTAGAAAAACTTGAATATAAAACACAATTATAATATAAATAATATAAGAGAGAAACCACTGTGACTTTGACCCTATTCAAACCCTATTTTAATATTCTAATCATACTAAGGTTATAAAACAAAAGGTAGATAAAATCAAATGAAGTCATGTCTGTCTTGAATCCAGTTATATATCTTCTATTTATTTTGTTGTTCATTAAACTGTTCCCTTTACAGATACTTTTGGTACATAGTTTAAATTGTTTTTCTTGACTAAATACTCATCAGACATGTCAAACATTGTTATGATCTTGACGGGCTATCTGTATCTTACGGGTTTTCTTAATCTTTTATAGACCGTAAAGGGAACGTGTTAAAGTCAATGCAGTACAGAACTGTGAAACTAATCTTACTCAAGACAAGAGGAAAGGAGCAGATATTAAGATATTTATGCTTTACAAGTTTTGTTACAATTGAGTAAAAGGAACGCAGCTATCGCTCAGACTGAAAACAAGAGCTGTTACAGGAGACAGCGAAGCTCGACTAATAAATTACTGGACGCAGTATGGAGGACAAAACTATGAAAGAAAAATTAATTATGTATAACTATGTATTAAGTAAAAGTAAAAAAAAAAAACATTTGTTAACATAAATTCCAAGATCAAGGGGAATTATTCTAGAAATATTCATACTAGAGTTATGAACCTTGTCACACAACATGCGCGTAATGATAAGAAATATATATTTGAAGTTTGAAGTAGATACCTTAAAAAGTAAAGAAGTTATAATATTTCTTAAAGAAAATCCTAAGTTCAAAGAGAGATAAATCTGTAAATATTGCTTCAAGAGTCATGAACATTGTAACATAAAATGTAACTGATGATAAGAAATAAGTATCTGAAGTTTGAGGAAGATACCTTTATATTTAAAACAAGAGGGCCATGATGGCCCTGAGATCGCTCACCTGTATATAGGCCCCCGAAGCGGGACCAGTTTAAACCCCAGGGCTTTTACTTGAACAAACTTGGAATTAAGACACCCATTAGAAGATGTTTCATGATGTTAAGTTTTTGCTATACACATATAAGGAAAAACAATGACCTCCTCTCCCCCCCCCCCCCCCCCTGGCAGAGTTAATTTTAACCAAAGGGCTTTTATTTGAACAAACTTGGTAGACACCCATAAGAAGATGTTTCATGCTAAACATCTAAGCTCTAGCTCATTGGGTTTTTTAAAAGAAGATTTTTTAAGTTTTTACTATACACATATAGTTAAAAACAACGACACCCCTGGGGCGGGGCCAGTTTTGACCCAAGGGCTTTTAATTGAACAAACTTGGTAGACACTCATTAGAAGATGTTACATGCTTAATATCTAAACTCTAGCTATTTGGGTTTTTTCAAAGAAGATTTCTTTAAGTTTTTGCTATACACATAATATTAGGAAATCAATGACCCCGGGGTGGGGCCAATTTTGACCACAGGCCTTTAATTTGAACAAACTTTGTAGACACTCACTAGAAGATGTTTCATGCTTAATATCTAAACTCTAACTATTTGGGATTTTTTTCAAAGAAGGTTTTCTAAGTTTTTGCTTTATACATATAAGGAAAATCAATGACCCCCGGGGTGGGGCCAATTTTGACCCCAGGGCTTTTATTTGAACAAACTTAGTAGACACCCATTAGAACATGTTTCATGCTAAATATCTTAGCTCTAGCTCTTTGAGTTCTTTAAAAGAAGATTTTTTAAGTTTTTACTATATGCATATAGGGAAAATCAATGACCCCCTGGGGCGGGGCCAATTTTGACCCCAGGGCTTTTATTTGAACAAACTTGGTAGACACTCATTAGAAAATGTTTCATGCTAAATATCTTTTCTCTAGCTCTTTGGGTTCTTTAAAAGAAGATTTTTTAAGTTTTTACTATATGCATATAGGGAAAATCAATGACCCCCTGGGGCGGGGCCAATTTTGACCCAAGGGCTTTTATTTGAACAAACTTGGTAGACACTCATTAGAAGATGTTTCATGCTAAATATATTAGCTCTAGCTCTTTGGGTTCTTTAACAGAAGATATTTTAAGTTTTTACTATATGCATATAGGGAAAATCAATGACCCCCTGGGCCGGGGCCAATTTTGACCACAGGGCTTTTATTTGAACAAACTTGGTAGACACTCATTAGAAGATGTTTCATGCCAAATATCTAAGCTCTAGCTCTTTGGGTTCTTTAAAAGAAGATTTTTAAGTTTTTACTATATGCATATAGGGAAAATCAATGATCCCCTGGGGCGGGGCCAATTTTGAACCCAGGGCTTTTATTTGAACAAACTTGGTAGACACTCATTAGAAGATGTTTCATGCCAAATAGCTAAGCTCTAGCTCTTTGGGTTCTTTAAAAAAAGATATTTAAAGTTTTTCTTTCGGTTGCCATGGCAACCAGAGTTCTCCATGGAATTAAATTCTTTGAACAATTTTTAAAGGTGACCACCAAAGGAACATTCCTGTGAAGTTTGGATGAAATTGGCTTAGTGGTTTATGAGGAGATGTCATTTGAAGCAAAAGTTTACGGACGGACGGACGCCGGACGGACGCCGGACGAAAAGCGATCACAAAAGCTCACCCTGTCACTTTGTGACAGGTGAGCTAAAAAGTTATAGCAAAAAATAACATTTTTCTAGTAAAAAAATCTAAGTTTATGGGGAGATAATTCTTGCAATATTGGTGCTAGTGTTATGAACCTTGCCACATAAGATGTGGATGATGATAAGGTACATATATTTGAAATATAAAGTTGATCCCTTTAGAAATAAATAAGTAACAGTAAAATATAAATATGTTTTAAGGAAAATTTTAATTTCAAGGGGGGATAAATCTGAAAATATTGGTGCTAGAGTTATGAATCTTGTCACATAAGTCGGGGATGATGATAAGGTACATATAATTGAAGTTTGAGCTTGATCCCTTAACATATAAAGAAGTAACAGTAAAAATAGTATTTTAGAGGAAAATTATAATTTCAAGGGGAAATAAATCTGAAAATATTGGTGCTAGAGTTATGAACCTTCTTACATAAGATTGGGATAATGATAAGGTACATATATTTGAAGTATGGGGTTCATCCCTTAAGCAATAAAGAAGTTACAGTAAAAAATAGTATTTTTTAAGGAAAATTCTAAGTTCAAGGGGAGATAAATCTGAAAAAATGGTGCTAGAGTTATGAACCTTGTCACATAAGTAAGGAACATATATTTGAAGTTTGAAGTTAATACCTTAAAGCTGCATGCCTCCAGATGACCCAAAATATTTCAAGAAAATAAAACTTGGAAAAACCATACTAAAACTTTGAGAAAAGTGATCAAATTAAAGATTCATGTGATAATTTATATCTTATGTGCAATTAATAACTGTATTTTGTCGTATTTATCACCACATTTCTACTGCGTTACTAACGCAGTAGGGGCTATGTATGCATACTTTGACCTCTTTTTGGTAATTTACGTGGATTTTAAGTGCCGATTGTAATGTGTCAAGTACTGTCTTTGTTCATTTCACAGTATTTTACCTTTAGATACATTTTCAAAATTTTCATGAAAATTTGAATGAATCTGGAGGCGTGCTGGTTTAAGAAATGACAAAGTTATAGTGAAAAATATTTTACTGCACCAAAACTTTAATCTGAAATCTGGACGCGGACGCTGACGCCGGGGCGAGTAGGACACTCTCCATATACTTCGTATAGTCGAGCTAAAAAGTAAATGCAAAACAAATAAGAAGAGCAAGGCATATAATATATGAAAAACAAGATCAACAAGGAAAGGCGGCGTTCAATGAACGCAACCCCCATATGACCCAGCAACAAGAACCAATGGCAAGGAGCCCAGGCGGACCCCAAACATAAAAAGGACAGGGCAACGACACGTTAATCATTAAATGATAAATAATTTGTAACTGATTAGGAATTCAAAGAAAACAATAATAGGCCCACAAAGGGGACAGGAGACCGGGGGAAGGGAGGGGGGTTAATCAAAGAAATAAAAACAAGAGGCAATGGGGAAGATACTTATCGTAGACGAGAAAACAACAAGGGACACAAGCAAAAGTGTCACCAAAACAGTATGAAACAACATAGACATACATCTGAGGAACACAGTGGGGCGCCGCCTTGGAACGGTCAGCAGCATAATAATGACTGCTGGGGAGTTTAAACCGGTTAATGGTGCACCAAACCTCGCAAATATTCACTTTGACAGCGGCCAGATAAGGAAGAATATGATAGAAATGAATAATTTAAGTGATGACATAACAAAATGGTATACTTCTTTCACAGAGGAAACATCTGATTCAATTTGTCCGAATCTTTCAGAGATGTCTGTTTTTAATTTCTCCATTCTTTCAGGTATGTTAGTTTCTAGTTTTTTAACTCTTTCGTATAGACTTGTGCTGTGTTCGTTGAATTCCTTCACTGCAGCGTTTTGACATTTTTCTATGCTTTCCTTGGCTTTTGTCGTATATGTGTCAACAACATATCTAACTTCTATTTTTCCATCTTCAATCACTTGTTTAAGCTCATCCGATTTTTGGCTTACAAACAATAATGCTTCTTTACATACATCTACCTCATTGTTGGTTGTTATTATAAATTTGCTTTCCTTCAACTGGTGAACAAACATAGATTACAAGGAATTTATAAAGTATTTCAGGCAATAAAACAAGATTGCATTTGAGAAAAATGCTATGCCACCGCATTAATACAATACTAAATAGTAGAGTAGGAACAGATTTTTTTTGTTTCTATACAACTGATACAATTGAAGATTGTCATAATGCATAGATTCCTGACCTATCTAATTCTTATTATCAGATTAGTGGTTAAATATATTGTTAATCCAATAAAAGATCAGCGTAGGAATATATCAATGTACTTGAGTCTAGTGAATTTGGTGGTGAAGGACATATTTCACACAGCACCAAATTTCAGGACTACATCAAAGGACAACACAGAAAGACACTTTGTCAAAATCTAGGTCAGCTGATATCACATTACATCTTAATCTGTGCACATGGTTCAAATTTCATAGCTGTACATCAACTTCAACTTTGATGATAAAAGGACAAAAAAGTAGGTCACATCATCAAAATCTAGGTCACATAATATCAAAGTTCAATTTTGCAACAAAAAACTGAGCACATGGTCAAACTTTCATTGCTGTACATCAAATGACAAGAAAGTAGGTCACCTTTCCCTGGACAAGGCAAAATTTTGACCCAAGGGTTTAATTCAAAACAATCTTGATAAAGGTCAACCAAACAACATTTCAAGTCAAATACCTAAGCTGTAGCTTTATCCCGTTCAGAAAACAATTGTGTTTTTTCTGTTTATAATGGGAATCACTGCCCCCGGGCAGGGCAAATTTGACACCAAGGGAAAATTTTTAATAACTTTGGTAGAGGACCAATAGATGATATTATAAAGCAAACATCAAAGCTCTATGCCTTGTACCTTCAGACAAAAATATTTTTATTTTTTAACTATTTCTGCATAATGAAAATCAATGACCCCCGTGGCGGAACCAATTTTGACCCCAGGGCTATAATTTGAACAATCTTGGTAGAAGTTCACTTCGCAAAGTCTCATGCCACTTATTTGACCTCTAGCCTTTGTCAATTCACAAAAGTCAAGATGTTTCAAGTTTTTACTTTATACAAAAAAGGAAAACTATCGCCTCTGGGACAGGGCAATTTTAAACCTAGGGGCATAATTAAAACAACTTTATTAGAGGACCCATAGATGATATTATATACCGAATATCAAAGCTCTAAGCTTTGTATCTTCAGACAAGAAGATTTTTTTTACTATATGTACATAGTGAAAATCAATGACCCCTTGGGTTGGGGCCAATTTTGACCCCAGGGCTATAATTTGTACAATCTTGCTAGAGGTTCACTTCATAATGTTCCATGCAAAATATCTTTACTCTAGCCTTTGTAAATTTAGAGAAGATTCTTGAAGATCGCTCAGCACGACATAATTGTTGTGCTTGTGGTATTTTTAGTTTCAATTTTTCGGCATTTTCTAGTTGTGTGGTTCCAAAATTCCTACTTGAATAATGTTGAATCACCCTTAGGATATGTCGCCTGCTTTCTAAATTTGTCTTTTGACGTCTTATCTGTGATACGCAGGCTTCATAACCTCTGATCCCCTTTCAAAATTTCATTTTAATTAGTTATGCCCATTGTTTTCTCGTTTAGGGCACACGCTTTTTATTACTTGGGGACCATACGCCGCTTTTCATGGAATGGCACGGAAGTGTCACATTGAAGGGTCCATGATAACCGCCATATGAACACATCTGCGGATGTTTCTAAATTCAAAATTTTACTATTTCACGTTTAAATGTTGAATACTGCTTAAGCTGTCGCTAGGGCTGTTACCGTCAACGCCCCCTAGCACCGGTTTAAGCAGAATTCAACATTTTAACGTGAAATAGTAAAATTTTGAATTTAGAAACATCTGCAGATGTGTTCATACGGCGGTTATCATGGAACCTTCAATGTGACACTTCTGTGCCATTCCATGAAAAGCGGCGTAGGGTGAAGTCGCATGGTGGTGTCACGTGGTGGAGTCACATGGTTGTCTCACGTGGTGAAGTCATGTGGTGGTGTCTCGTTGTGAAGTCACGATAACAACAAGGGCTTGTCCTTAATCAGTATGTTCTGTTATAATATGAAGTTGATCTCTTCAAAAATAGCAAAGTTACAGCAAGTTACAGTCAAAACAATGAAAATTTCAATAATTTGAACTTCCAAGTCATGGTCATTAATGAGTGAAGGTCAAGGTCTGTCTGGTTATTTTTAAGGGTTATCCTTGAAGATTATTATACATGTATTCAAGTTTGAAGACAATCCATTCAAAAATAACAAAGTTACAGCCAATAATAGCCAAAAAATGACAATTTCAATAATTTGACCTTCAAAGTCAAGGTCATTGATGAGTGAAGGTCAAGGTCTGTCTGGTTATTTTTAAGGGATATCCTTGAAGATTATTATGTTCAAGTTTGAAGACAATCCATTAAAAAAAAAAACAACAAAGTTACAGCCAATAATAGCCAAAAAATGAAAATTTCAATAATTTGACCTTCAAAGTCAAGGTCATTGATGAGTGAAGGCTAAGGTGTGTCTAGTTATTTTTTAGGGATATCCTCGAAGATTATTATGTTCAAGTTTGAAGACATTCCATTCAAAAATAACAAAGTAACAGCCAAAAACAGCATGAACAAGCAAAATTTGGACTTTTAACCTCGAAGGTCAAGGTCATTTATGTATGATGGTCAAGGTTAGTTTGGTCTACTGAAAGGTCTTGTCCAAAGGGTTGTTGTGGCCAAGTATGAAGACAATACACCAAGAAATAAAGAGGTTATGATCCAGGTACAAGTTTGCGGACGGCAACGGCAAAGGCAACGGCAAAGTCGAGCTAAAAATGATAACTTTTATCTGAACTTTGACCCATATGTGTGACCTTGACTTTGGTCGCAAGCACCTAAGTTTTACATGCGACCCCCCCCCCCACCTCAGAATGGTGAACATTTGTGCAAAGTTATATTGAAATCCCCCTCTATGTATGTAAGAGTTTTCCTCTCAATGACCTTTAATTGTGACCTGACCTTTGCCCTAGAGATCTGACTCATGCGCACAAAACAGCCTCTTATAGTGATGAACATTTCTATGAAGTTTCATTAAAATGTCTCAATGCTTGTAGAAGATATGCTCGGACCAATTTGGACAGCGCCCCCCCAGACCACCCGTTCAGAGAAATTATAATATGACCTGTTTTTAATACCAAAAGTGAAAATTCAATATTTTAACCTTCAAGGCCAAGGTCATAAATAAAATAGGGTTAATTTAAAATTGGTATGCACGTTATATATATCAAAATGTTGTATCTTAAAATGAAGTCAACCAATTCATTAATAATAAAGTAATAGCCAGTTTCAGCAAAAAAATAAATTTCAATAATTTGGCCTTCAATGTCAATGGCATTTATGAATGAAAGATAAGTTAAGTGTCTTTGGTATTTGAGGATCTTGTCCGAGGCGTTGTTGCGATCAAGAAAGAAGACAGTACACAAATAACTTAACAAGGGGGCTTAAAGGGCCCTAGATCGCTCACCTGACAAATACGTCAAATTGGAGCTCCTTTTCATCCCAGAAGAAATAGCGAAAATTAAAAATCGCTAAAAATACCGGATTGACAGAAAAAGAAATACAAAGACCCCTGGGGCGGGGCCAATTTTGACTATAGGGCATTTTTTGAAGAAACAGAACATCTTTAATGCCAAATATCAAATCTATATTGCTTTTGGATTGTCAAAAGATTTTTTGTAAAAGTTTTAACTAAATACATATACAGAAAATCAATGACTCCCTTGGGCGGGCCAATTTTGACCCTCAGGACATCCACTACAAGAGATTTCATGCCAAATATCTAAGCTTTACGTCTTTTGGATTGTCACTAGAAGATTTTTTAAGTTTATACTATATACATGGTTAAATAAGGAAAAAAATTGACCCTCTGGGGCGCGGCACATTTTGACCCTAGGGCTTTTATTTGAACATCCACTAGAATATGTTTCATGCCCAATATCTCAGCTCTAGCTCTTTCGTTTTTTTACATGAAGATTGTTTAAACGATTTTTTTGTAAAAAACAAATCTTGTTGTTGTCATGGCAACCAGAGTTCTTTATGAAATTTAATTAATAGGAACTTCCCTGTAATGTTTCAACAAGGTTTGCCAATTTGTTAGGGAAGAGAAATTGTTTAAAGACATTGTTGACCCACGCACGGACAGACAATGTACAACAGACAGTGGGTCATCACAAAAGCTCATATTGAGGACATTGTCCTCAGATGAGCTTTTTGTTTGTTTGTTTCATTTTACGCCCTTTTCCCAAAAGTATTTCAGTCATGTAGGCGGGTAGTTTCCTAACAATCGTTTCTGGAGAGCTACACCAGTACTACACTACCTTCCTCCGCGCTAAACTACCAAAGCATCTCCCGGGGATCGAACCCACGCCAGAGAAGTAACTTGATTAGAAGTCATCGACTCTAACCCCTTAGATGAGCTAAAATGATCATTGTCAAAGTTTTGGGGACAGTAACAGCAACAGTAATAAACTTTGAAATGCAGATACTGTTATCTTTCTTAAATACTATCTTTTCAGTTAAGCATATCCAATTTCTAAAACAAAAAAAAGCATTTATTTCTTCAATTAAAGTCATCATTGTATACATGTAGTGAATCAAAATGTTCTTATAATGTGCTCAAATTGTTTCATTCATATGCTTGCTAAGCTCAAAATCTAGCTCTTGCTAAAGTTCATGACCTCTAATGATTGTAAAAATATCTCTGAAAATCAAACATTTCTCTTGCTAGAGGTGGTGACCTTTCACTTACTCGATTCTTTTTATGAAAAAAATGCCTCACATGTACACATGTTTAAAAGACATTCCAATAAGAGGTTTAAAAAAAAAAACAAAAAAAAACAACAGCAGTTTTTTTTCAAGTTTTTACTGTCTGTACGTAATGGAAATCAATACCCACCTAGGAGGGACCAATTTTGACCATAAGGGTATAAATTGAACTTTCTTAGTAGAAATCCACTTTACAATGTTTCTTGCCAACTAACTAAGCTCTAGCTTTTGTCAATTAAGAGAAGATTGTTTTTTAATTTTTAAAATTTACATATAAGGAAAATCTATTACCACCGAGGCGGGGCAAATTGACATTAAGAGCGAAATTTGAACAATTTCGGAAGAGTACCTATTGATGATATCATATAAAAATACACTTGTTACTATATATAGTAATAAAATCGCCTATGATTTCAACTGATTATAAGTGTCACGTGACCTATTACGTGTCACGGGGCCGAGAACTAGTTATCAGCCCGCTGAACATGTGTATGCACAAACTGAAACAATGACGTCATATGTTAAGTCATCAAACAGTTAAGTGTGAAAGTGAAAGTAGGTTTTAAGCAATGATCGCTTGATTTAATTATGAGAGCTTAAGCGTATTTCGAACAAACACAGTTGTAATACTATTGAAATTTAAAGAAATAATACGACACACTCATTCCGAAAAAAATAGATTCTAGATTCTAGAGTAGATCAAGTGCACTTTGAACACACAAAGTTAACAAATATGTAGAAGTTTCTGAACTGTACTATACATACAATAGAAATGCAGACAAGAATTTCAACAAAAGAAATTTCAAAGTATTTTTTTATAGAAAAAAAATGCAACTTTTAGATTTACCAAGTGTATTAGAGACATTAATACACGACAGAGTAGGGTCGGAAGGTGATAATTGGCGCTGAAATGAATAATCCCCTCGGGCTTAAGCACTCTTGGTCATTATATATTTTGCAGGCCGATTATCACCTTCCAGCCCTGCTCTGCCGTGTATTAATCTCTTAATAAATACCAAAGCTGTTCGCCAAGAACTTGAAGAAGACTTTATAAAATTGTGCTATTTATTAAAACATTTGTTACTATATATAGTATCAAAATAGCCTATGACTTTCACTTATTATGAGTGTCACATGACCAATTATGAGTTTGCGACCCCGGGCTGAGAACTCATCAAACTCCTCACAGCTGTTACGTCACGCTTTGCTACTTGAGTGAGACTAAAAAAAGGATTGGAGCACCACACTAAATACCGTTTTGTGGTATATACCGGGCAAGACGCTTGAATCATAAAATGCTAAAATCTTGCCTTTTTACCCAACGGAATGAACTTGAATAGGTCTAATTCATCTTTTCACACAGATTTATGAATGATAATGAATGAAAAATGTAAAAATCGGCGAAAAAAACGATATTTGTCTATTTTGTGATCATGATTTCTGTAAACGTCTAGAGGTACAGTACTGCTCCAATCCTGTATTGAGTTAAATCCTTGCTTTTGAGTCTGTTACTGTACTGATCAGGGGAAGTAACCGCTGCGGGGAGTTTGAGAACTCAATATCAGCCCGTTGAAGATGTGCATGTGCACAAACTGAAACAATGACGTCATATTTTACGTCATCAAATAAGTAACTGTAAACGTGAAAGAAGGTTTTAAGCACGAATCGCTTAATTTACTTATGAGAGTTTAAGCGACTTCGTACAGACAAAGTTTTTTAACCATTGAAATTAAAAGAAATAATACGACAAATTCATTCCAAAAAAAAAATGAAAATAAAACTTGCTTCTATATTCTAGTGTAGATCTACTTTGTACATACATAAAGTAACCAACATTGTAGAAGTTACTGTACAGTACAGTATAAATACAGACAGAGATATCAACGCGAGAAATATCAACGTATTTTTCTTGTAGAAAAATGCTAGACTACTTTTAGATCTCCCAAGTGTATTGAAGACATTAATATACGTCATAGTTGTGCCAGATAGTGATAATCGGCCCTGAAATGAATAATTCCCTCGGGCTGAAGCCGATTAGATCACCTTCCGGCACTACTCTGCCGTGTTTTAACCTCTTACTACACTTACATAATAAAAATCAATGCCCCTGGGGCGGCATAAATTTAGACGCAAGGGCTATAATTTGAACAAACAATCTTGTTAGAGATCCCACAGACAATGCTTTATGCAAAATATGTAAACTCTAGGCCTTTTGGGCCTTAGAAGAAGATTTCCATCATAGTTTTCTTATTATTCTTTTAGTTGCCATGACAACCAGATTCCTGCTTAGAACAACTTTGGGAGCCTTCCACCCAAGGTTTTGGTTGAATTAAGACTAACCGTGTTTAGTGGAAGATTTTTCTTTAAGTTCACTATATAACCTATAGAACACACAAATGCACACAGTGAATCCTTAAAGGCCACTGCATCGCAGATGGTGCAGTGGCATAAAAAGAACAGTATATAAACCTTTATTGTATGTAAAGACTTGGTGTTTTAAATTTTAGGGAGCACAAATAAATTAATTTATATCTAAATGGATTATCAAATCCGTTCACTTTAGAAACAGCATCTGAATATATGATGGGACAAAATTATTTACCTGTTTAAGTTTGCGGACAGCTTCCTGAGCTTCAGGTCTTCCGCTGAGTTCTTTTGGGTCTTCAAGAATTCTAACGATATCATCTATACATTTAGCCACTTCCAGATCTTCCATTTCCATGGTATTGGAATGAAATAACTTGTTTCTTCTTTCTCGTACCTGTACAATAAGTTTTGTGAAGAGTCATTTTTGTAGTGTCAAAAAATTAGATAGAATAACAATTATACATTTGATGAATGCAATTTTCATATATGTTGTAATTAGATAAAAACAGCAGAAAATTAACCAAGTGTTCACGAGAGTATACTAATGTTCTATTGAAAATTTTATGTTGCCTATTTTTTGAAATATTTAGTTCCTTTATTATGTTATATGATTTTGTAAATATACAGGCTACTTGAATTCTAGAAATACAAAATAAGAATGTCTTACATATTTATTTATATATTTCATAAACACTATATAAACAATATAATTTTCACGACATTTACTTACCTGGATAAAAATATTGTTTCCAGCCATGGAGCATGCTAAATGAGAATGAAGATTGATGTTGTTAATGAAGACATGGAGTAATCCAGATATGTCTATTTCAGCTGCCTTTGTCTTGTCAGAATACCCAGGAGCATTGATGAAACATTTGGCGACCTCCCATGGCTCTGTACACCACTTCTGTATATCTGTATTTGTCCAGTTTGGTGTTGGTGGGGTGGATTCGTGGCTTTGTAATATTTCTTCCATAATGAAATCACATACTTTAAGACGACATTTTTTCTTCTTTAAGTGCAAACAATTACACTTACGCTGACCCCAGGGGCATTCATAATTACCTGCAGATATTGTTCTGCATGCATGTATTGGTCGCAAACGCTCAATGATGCACTGATTACAGATGGTACCTGGTGTGCAATTAATAGATCCTAATATTCTGCTTTGTTCTTGTTTAACAACATCATCACTAAAACCGTCTAGACCTTGTTTTAGGTATTTATATGCCAATCCACCTTTCACCCAGTTTCTGTACTTCTTCTTCTCTATCTCACTCTGGTGACCCATTATTTGGTTTTTTCACTTTACCAGTTTACGAGTACCTCCTGTTATCTAACTTTCGTTTCCGATGTTCTCTGACAAAATAAACAGGGAAATTAACATTTAATTAACTGAACCAGCATGCTATAAAGACATTTACTATAGATTATACATTTTTGAAAAGGAAGAAAAATTTAAAGTAGCAAACAGAACTTTTTTGAAAATAAAAATACCTACGGTGGCATATAAGTGACATTTGCAATTTCTTATTTTTTCTTTTTTATGCTTATATTTTTTTTTCTTTTTCGTACATTTTTTGTTGTTGTTTTTTTGTTTTTCGTACATATTTGTTTTTAGTTTTGCATACATATTTTATTTTAGTTTTGAATACATACTTTTTTTAGTTTTGCATATATATCTTATTTAATGTTTGCATACATATTTTATTTTAGTTTTTCGTACATTTTTTTTTTTAGTTTTGCATACATTTTATTTTTAGTTTTTCGTACATATTTTTATTTTTGTTTTCCGTACATATTTTTACATGACGATATTTACAAAGTTGAGCTCTGGATAGTTACGCCATTTGTAAAACACCATTTTCAAACACTTAATCTGTAAATTACTGTACCCCATTTGCAAGCGCCATTTGCAAATACGAACATTTTCATTTTGGGGGGGTATAAAAAAATAACAAACATATATATTTATATCGATGTGGTTAACATTTGACACAAGGTTCATGGAAATCCTTCATGTTGCTTAGGAGATAAGGAGCGGGTATGAAACCAAAGTCTCAATCCTTTGACCTTTATATGTGACCCCGACCTTGATCCGGCACACCTGGCATATAAGTTCTGCACATTATCTTGATGTGCTAAACAATTGATTCAAGTTTCAAGCTTTAAGCATATTTTCCAAACCAGACGGATTATAATGACCTATTTAGATATTTTATTGTAAAATTTTATTTTTCACCACCTCCCTCGCCCCGGGGATGCGGGTTAAAAAAATCGTGTTTTGTCGTTTGAGCTGTTCCGGGGCATAAGGAAGGAATGTTATTATCAATTTATTCATGGAATAATAACTGATCACCAATAAACAGCCCTTGTCAAATAGACACTAATATAATGGTATATAATAATATGTTTTTACAATAATTATGTTAAAACATATAACTAAAAAGTGGGCCGAAAAGGGTCGGCCGAAACCAGACTTGCCCGGCCGAAATGTGACCAAACCACTGTGCGAAATCTATGTTTGTAAAAAAACTAACGATATATCAAACAACCAAGAGGTTTTAGATTCAAACATAGCAGTTTTTTTTTAAAAATTATGTATGAGTGCTCTTTTCTGTATTTGAAAAAACGGTGTCAGTGACAAATAATGTCAGAAAAGCGAAATAGATCTGGTTTGATGACGCTTGTAAAGGCAAAA